TTGTTACGAATTTTGATCGGTATGTTTACTCGAATAACAAAAAATTTGTATCATTATAAATGTTGTAACAAAAGTTAAGTGGTCAACATTTGTGGGATGATTTTTTGTTACGATTTTTTGTACGCCACAAAAAGTAAAATTCTTTTTTAACGACTCATGTCCGTAACAAACAACGCAGTACAAAAATTTTCTGACAAGTACAATATCTTTTCGTACCGGTTTTTATTACGAGTATTTGTTCGTGAAAAAATTTAAAAGTATGTTTGTAACGAAGAGTAGTCATGACAAATAATGCGTTGCGAATGTTTTCTGACATGCAAAATAACTTTTAGTAACGGTTTATGTAATATCTTTTCGTCACAAAAAAATTGATCACATGTCCATTATAATAATATTTTGAAATGACTTGAAGAGACAATTGTAACGATTTTTTGTAACAACATCAATTTCGTGACAATTAATATACCTTTTTTTTTTTTTTTTTTTTTTTCCATAATCCCTACAAAAAATTGATCACCTATTCATTATAATAACATTTTTTTTGTTACACTAACAATAGTGCCAACTACACACGATAGGACTACACAAACGGCAAACAAGCGAAAATTACATACTTATGTGCAAAGTGATCATCTAGTAAGATGTAGAGATGTCATACTTCTACACAAAGTGTTCAATCCAATATATTAAAAACATATAAGATATTAATCCAAGTGGGTGGATGCTCATGCAACGACAAAAGTACGGCGGAGGAACTCAAGTATGGGGAACCAACTACAATAAATAAGTAGGTTATATGAGTATTTAATTGCAAAAAATGTAAATTACTTAATGAAATAAACCTTCGACGATAAATTTATGTGTGTTTGTTGAAGGTAATTTTATATTGTGTTATGGTCAGAGCCGTCTCGAACTTTTTTAGGACCCTGAGCAAAAATAAATGATAGGTCCAATAAACAAATGATTTTTTTTTTTCAAAATACTATCAACAAACAATGTAATAATAAATTTCATAGAAATAAAAATTATATTAATCATATATATAATAAATAAAATATATATGTCCCGTAAAAGATGACTAGCTGGTGTGGAAGTGGACTGTCGGGTCTAGTTTGTAATACATATCTTAACTATTATAAAACTTTACAATATCTTGACTATTATAAAGTCAATAACTCAATAATAGTAACCACATATTCAAAAGGCGATAATATTAATTTTAGAATTAAAATTAGTTTAGGTAATTGTTGAGAAAAATATGGGATAAAGTTTAAATTAAATTATAAAATATCTAATGATAGCTAAAATTAAAAAAGATGTGTCCTCTTAAACTAGAGGCCCTCAGCAATTCTTTAGGTTGCTCTTGCTAAGAGCCAGCTCTGTTTTAATCTTAGACTACATAAAAACTTTTATAGATTAGACAATTACTTTATAAGGTGATGGAGATGAAATTATAGTTTGACAATCATGCAACATTGCGCATTGCCTCAATATTTCATTAAAAAATACAACATATTGAAGTAGATCGATCATTCATCAAGAAAAAGTGTTATATAGATGTATAGACACTGAATATTTATCTTCAAATGATCAACTTGTAAACATATTAACAAAAGCCCTTAGAGGACCTATATTCGAGCTCATTTGCAATAAGTTTGAATCATATTACTTGAACACTCCATCTTGAGGAGGAATATTAGATTCATATTTGTTTGACTATATAATCTACATATATTTATATCTTTATATTATCTTCAAATGATCAACTTGTAAACATATTAACAAAAGCCCTTAGAGGACCTATATTCGAGCTCATTTGCAATAAGTTTGAATCATATTACTTGAACACTCCATCTTGAGGAGGAATATTAGATTCATATTTGTTTGACTATATAATCTACATATATTTATATCTTTATATAGTTAGGATTATTATGATTGGATAAGAGATTTTGTTTGTTAGCAAGATTATTGACTATACCTATATATGTGTATTCTTTACTTCTTTTATTTTTGGAATAAAATATAAGAAAAATAGACTTCTCTCTAAATTTTTAGAATGACCAATCCTTTCAACAACAAGAACTAGCATCATTTTGATAATTAGATTTTATAACTAAATATGCATATATGAAAATAATTTATATTTGTTAAAGTATATTTTAAAATAATATATATTTACTAACAAAAAATAGACCATATGTTGATTAACAAGGAAAACAAATCATCTTTCTTCGAATAGAGGTACTATTATAATCTACTATAAAATTTCGAAAGATCATTTGAATGGAGACGGAGAGAGTAAGATATATGAAATATTATTCTTTATTTGAATTAATTTTACAAAAAGATAATACGCACGGATATTTTGATGTACTTTATCATTTCAGTTTATCATATTCATGTTAATTAAATTTATTCTTATTTTTTTATTTAATTTGCTCATAAAAAAATCAATATTTAACTATTACTTTCATTCAACACTTCTTTATAATAAATACAACTACTTTTACACTCTCTTTATTTCTTTTAATTTTTAATTAAATTTTTAAAAATACCTCAGCTATCTTCTTACTTTATTATTTTTTCAAATATTGGACTATTTATTATTTATTATTATTGTTTTTATTGTATTGTCTACTTTTACTTGTTTTGAACTATGTATACTTTATTATTAACGCAATCAATTATTTTTCTCTCAAAAATTATTTTAACATGGTATCCGAACCCGAAATTAGAATTGTTTTCCTCCACTGCGCCGCCATCCGCCGGTCACCAGCCGACACTACCTCCGCCTTGATGAGACCGGCCCGCCCCTATAGTTTCATTGTCATCAGCTGCGCGTTGCGGCTCCATGTGCCGGTGACGCAACTCGGGCGTCCGGCTACTTTTTCTTCCGCCGCCTTCCAGCCACGCATGGCGGCACGTCCGGAGATTTTCGGTCGCCACCTCTTTCTTTGATTTCCAACGTCGTGGTATGGTCAATGTTGTCATTTGTGTTGATTTTATTTCGAGTCTATAAGTGGAATGAATTACTCAATCTGGAATACCGTGACACTTTCGCATCAAATTATTGCTTTCAATTCCTCTCTTATCATGGCCAGTTCAGGTAAATCTAAATGGTAATTTGACTCTGGTTACTGCAATCATATGACATCTACGTTTGGTCTTTTGACTGGTGCGTATCATATGTCTTCTTCACTGCCTATACAAACTGCTAATGAGAACCGTATGGATATCACTCATTTATGGTATGTATCTCTACCATTTACATATCTTCATGATACTTACTGCATTCCGTAGTTGACTTTAAATTTTGTATCAGTTGGCCAATTAGTTGATCATAAATTTACTGTTACTTTCTCATCTTCTGGTGTGCAGGTTTATAATCAACGTACGAGTCAAATTCTTGGGACAAGTCAAAAGATGGGTCGATTATTTGAGGTACAGTCTTTGAAATTCCCTTCCCGTAATTTTTCTGTTGCTACTACATGTAATACCCCTGGAGTTGGACCGGTGCTAGGCCAACTCCCGTGGATGAGGTGGTGTCAGGCCTTCCGAGATCGAATAATAATTAAATAGATTGAATAGACAACTTATGTCAACAATGTGCACATTCCTTTTCGGAAGCTCTAGGAAAGTCTCCCAGGATGCGTCTGAGTAAGGACAGAAGCGCGCTGAATGAACTCATGTTGACCTGTGGGGCCAGTCTACGATCCCGATATACCCAGCTTTGTGGGTTGGGGTGTCACAGTTGGTATCAGATTCGACCTGTGACAGCCTGCAGTCGTTGACCGAACTGTTGACGGACCTACCAGTTAAGGGATCCATAGGGTGCAATGGGGACGTTGCATTTTTAAGTGGGGGGGGGGATGTAATACTTCCGGAGTTCGGCCGGTGTTAAACCAACTCATGTGGATGAGCTGGTGTCAGGCCATTCAAGATTGAATAGTAATTAAGTGGATTCAATAAACTATTCATGTGAACAATGTGCATATTCCTTTTTGGAAGTCCTACTGAAAGAATTCATGCTTAACTCTAGGTAATTTGAGTATGGATGACCTCCGGGAAGTCGTGAGTGAGGAGAGAAGCGCATTGGAAGGACTCGTGTTGACCTGTGGGGCCAGTCTTTGGTTAGTAAGGGTCGTTTGGATTCTACTAGTTTTTTAGTCATTTGATTGTTTATAGTGTCTTTGGGTAAACAACCAACCTTATCCTTTTTCAAAAAATGTGTCGATCGCAAATAAACTATTTTCTCTGGTTAATTGTAATATTTGGGGTCCTTCTCTTGTTTCATCTATGAGTAGGTGTCGTTATTATATCATATTCATAGATTATTACTCTCGTTTTACATTGATATATTTTTTGAAACATCGTTCAGAATTACCTCAAATATACACTCAATTTTCATGTTCTATACAGACCCTCCGTAATGATAATGGTTTTGAGTATAAAGATTCTACCTTATTAAGCTTTCTCTCTGCTCATGGTACATTAATTCAACTGTCATGTCCATACACCTCTCAACAAAATGGTCACGTTGAGCGCAAATATCGCCACATTCTAGATATTGCTTGTGCATCTCTATTTTCTGTCTCGTTGATAGATTCTTGGGGAAAGTTGTGCTCACTGTTGTCTATATCATAAATCGTATTTCATCATATGTCCTACATATGGTACTTCTTTGAATGTCTATATTCTCAGCCATCCGACTATAGTATCCTTCATTCATTCGGTTGTGTTGATTTTGTCCTTATCCCTCGGCATGAACGTTTCAAATTGAAATCTCGTGCGCGTCTATGTTGGCTTCTTAGTTATGGGGTAGAGCATAAAGGTTATAGACTTTCGGATCCGATCTCTAAACGGTTGTGTATATCTCAGCATGTTACTTTTGGGAAAGTATCATGTTTTCCATTATGTCTAAATTTCATATCTCATATATTTCTGATTCACTTTCATTTATGTCATCATGTTCTCCCTTATTCCCTGATTCTGATCCCATGACTCCACCCACGCCTCCGAATTCTATTCCAGTTGAGGCTTCTGATCGACCTCAGACCTCATCTCTAGATTCTGATTCAATTGGGGTGCCTGGACCTGTCATATCTCGCCGATCACATCGAGTAAGTCACCCACTTACTCATTCATGTGATTATCATTTTTTTTCGGCTATCCTATCTCTGCATGAGCCCAAGTCATTTCATGAAGCGAATTTTGATTTGTGGTGGCGACATTTGGTGTTTGAAAAATTGCAAACTTTAGAGAAGACTCATACATGAGACCTAGTTGGTTTACCTCCAGATAAAACACCTATTGGTAGCAAATGAGTTTTCAAGATTAAAACTAAGTTTGATGGGTCGGTTGAGCGTTATAAAGTTCGCTTGGTTGCAAAAGGCTACTCACAAGAATATGGCATTGAGTACGAGGAAACCTTTGCTCCGTTGGTGCGTTTTACCTATGTTCGTTGTTTAATTGCAATTGCAGCTGTTCATAATTGGTTTCTCTTGCATCAAGAATGTCTTTCTCCATGATGATCTATCTGAGGATGTTAATATGACATTGCCTCCGAGTTTTCCTCCTTCTTCTAAAGTTTGTAAGTTACGGCGTGCTCTTTATGATTTGAAACATGCTTCACGTGCTTGGTTTTCTAAGTTCAGTTCAGTTCTTCTTAAGTTTGGCTTCACTTATAGTTTGCATAACTATGTCTTATTTATTGAACGAAGTTCTTCTGTAAATATTGTTTTGCTTCACTTTGTTGATGATATGATTCTTATTAAGGATAATCATATATTTGATTTACAGAGCTACCTTCAGCAACATTTTGATACGAAGAGTCTTGGCCACCTTCGGTATTTCTTGAGTCTTGAAATTTCGTATGGTCCTAATGGGTTTTATAAGTCTCAGACTAAATATGCTTTTGATATATTGTCTCGTGATGGTCTCACTGATTGCAAGACAGCTTTGACACCCCTTGACACTGAATGCCATCTTACACCAATGAATGAGACTCTTCTTGACGATGATTCTCTTCATCGCCAATTTCTAGAGAACTTGATTTACTTGACAATCACTTACCCTAACACTGCTTACGTTTTATATCTGGCTAGTTAGTTTATATCTGCACCTCGCACAACTCACTACTCTGCAGTTGTACATATTTTTTGTTATGTTAAGGAAACACAATTGCATGGATTACACTTCTCATATCAATTTCCATTAACTTTATCTTGTTACTTTGATGCTGATTGGGCAAACAATTCCACGGATCGTCCCTCTACAACTAGTTTTTACTTCTTTCTTGGTGATTCTCATGTTTCCTGGCGTAGTAAGAAAAAAACAGTTATCTCTCGCTCAGCACTAAATCCGAATATCGAGCCCTTGTTAATGCTATTTTTGAGCTCTTGTGGTTTCGTTGATTACTTGATGATCTTGGTGTGCCACAGTCATTTCATATTCCTCTGCATTGCGATAGTATGAGTACTATTCAGATTTCTGACAATGATATTTTTCATAAGCGCACCAAACACATCGAAATTGACTATCATCTTGTTCGTTATCATGTTACTCATGACAACGTCAAGCTATGTTCCATCTCCTGCGACGATCAAACTGTAGATATTTTCACCAAATCACATCATGCTGTTCGGTTCCAATCTCTCTTACACAAACTTAAGTTGGCTTATACCGCTCCTATTTAAATTCGAGGGATGATGTTAGAATATTTATTATTTATCTATTTATTTTATTGTTTTCTTTTATCTGTTTTGAGCCATACCTATAAATAGGTCTTGACTTTATTCTTAATACGGTCAATTATTTTTTTCCAAAAATTATTTTAACATCAATAAAATATTTATGTATTAAATTTTCATGCCGAACTTAAATAAACTCATTTTAATGAAGGGTATGTTTGTTTTGTGAAATTTTTGAAAAATAAAGAAAATTATATAAAATATAAAAAATTGTCTAAAAATATAAAAATAATAAATATATAATATATTAATTTATTTTTTAAAAAAAAAACGTATAGAAATATATAATAGAAAGAACACAACCTATATTTAATTGCCTATTGAATATATATTTTTATATATAATTATGTAGAATTAAAATAAATAAATAAATAAAAGAAAAAGAAAATATCTTGACACGGTCAGCAACAATCAAATATCATACATATATAATAAATAAAAATCCCCATCAGCTTGGTGGCTAACAAGTACAGTTAATTGTTATGGTCGAAGAAAAAAAAATCTACTATTCAGCCGGCACTATACCAAGTAAAAATATACCTTTTCTATTTCAAATATGGTATAACATTTTATTTCAATATGAGAATTTAATGTATAATTAAATAAGATAATTGAAAAATGAGGTGATACGATAAAATTAAATATATTAATTATTTTATATTTCAAAAATATTGTAAAATATTTGAAACAAGCAAAATAATAATAATAATAATAATTTATTATAGTTTTTGGAATGAATATAATATTATTTTATCTCATAAAATATTATTTTTTAATAATATTTTAAAAAATAATAATAAATAACTTTTAAATCAACACCAAACAAATGTTATTAATTATGTGAGAGTTAAAAATTATTTATTTTTATTATTTTCAAATATTTTATAAAAAATAATATAAGGGTATATTTTATTGTAAACTATGTGAATTAAAAATTATAAAAAAACATGGTATTTTCTTTGACAAAATAATGAATACGTCTTTCAAAAAATTTATATATTATATATATTTATTATTTTTATATTATTTACACAATTGTTTTATACGACAGCTAAAAAAGAAAATTTCATTCAAACCAAAAGACACCAAAAACAATACTCACCCACCTGCGTTTGTTTGTAAATCTTATATTATTTCTTTGTGTTGCATTTACAATGATTTTTTAATGGAAAATTGCAATATTTCAAATTGAAATATGTTCTAAAATTTATAATAAAATATTGGTAAAAATAAACTATTAAATAAAGATTGTATTATAGAAAGAAGGAAATTGTTACGGTGTTGATTTTTTTCTAATCAGAATTATACTGATTTTTCAATTCAGCATAGGTACAAACAATACACAATATTATTACATATATCACATGCTGTGTATAATAAATGTACGTCTCGTTTTTTGTTGTATAAGAGTATGACTCGTGCTAAAATCAACTGTTGGATATGTTGTAGGAGACTATAAAATGTCTTGTTAGTTTATGTGTTGTATTTGTATTATATTAACATATATAATATGATGTCTGTAATAATACTGTTTGTTGTCAAACAACACACAATGTGTCGTTGAGACTATAACATATGTTCTTTGTTCATGTGATGCATTTGTATTATATTAACATATACAGTGTGTTGCATGTAATATCATGTGCTGCAGTGCTGAATTTAAGTTCAGCACTGTAGCTGCCGCTATAAATAATATTTTATTCGTTCAACTCTAAAGGTCTCATTTACCTTTTGTCTCATTGTACTTAATATTAAAAATATTCTTATATTTGTATAATTATTTGCAAAAATATCATTATAATAGTATTGTAAAATATTAATAGAAGTATTTTTGTTATTTCTCTTTAATTTATATTATGTTTTCATATAATAATTAATATTCAAATATTAACACGTAAAAAAATTAAATAAGACATTTAAATCCAGACGGAGGTGTAGTTATTATTAACTTATAATATAAAATCAAATCAAATAAGAAGTCAGGTGTATTCAGTGAACAAAAAATTTTAACACCCTCTTCGACTAATATTACAAAAACATAATACTCATTCTGTCCGGTAAAAGATAATATATTTAGTTAGAGACACGATTATATATGTAATGTAAATTAATAAATTATTAATAATAAGTTATAATATAATTTTATTATGTTTATATGAGTAATATTGTTAATATTTTAAAAATATAAATTAATATATAATAAAAAGAAATTTAGAATATATGTTTAAATATTTTTAACATTATACCTCAATAAAATATATATTATATAGATATTATTTTATAGATATTTTATATGATACAAATAAATAAATATATATATAATTAACTTAAATTAATTTTATAAAAAATTAAATGGATAGTTTTAAATATAGATAAAGTATTTGTTTATCGAAGAGAGGTAAAATAAAAGAGTTTTGTTTAGATCTTACGTGTGAAATATTATAAATTTAATTAAATTAATTTATATTTTTTAATATATTTAAAATGAATAAATTTACTAAAAATAAAAATTAACCAAATGTTATAAAGACGAACAAAAAGAAAAAAAAAATCATTGGAATGAAGAGAAGGATATATTCATATAAATATATATATATTCTATCTACATCAATAATTTAATATAAATTATTATTTTTTATAATATTGACATACTTCTCATATTTAATATAAAAAAATAATTCAAAATAATATACATAACAAACTTACTTTTTATTTCTTTATACTTTTAATTTTAATTGTAATTTTCACATTTCCTTATAAAACATATCATTTCACCTGATAAAATATTACATTAAAATAATATTCAAATCAAAATTTTAAAAAAAATGCAAAATTAAATCATAATTAAATAAACTAAATCTCTTTCTTTTTTTTTTTTTTTTTTTTTTTTTTAACATTGATATATATTGTTTTACCATATAACAATCACAATATTTTATAGGATAGATTATATAATAACCCCTTATGTTTTAGTGAAAATACACAAAACACTCCGTATTTTATTTATTAAGTGAAATTCTTTTGTGTTAATGTAAATTTTACATGAAACACCTTCGTTGTCCAAAACTGATATTTGGTTTTAAATAAAAACTTAAATTACGCGAGTTTCATATAAATAAAAAATGTAAAATATCTAAAATAATTTTTTAAATAAAATAAATAAATAAATAAATAATTGATTAATCATTCATTTTATAATTTTTTGAAACAAATTGTTATCTGATTTTTTACAAAAATTATAAAAATAAATGATTGATAAATTATTTATTTATTTATTTTATTCAAAAAAATTATTTAAAATATTTTTTATTTTTTATTTGTATAAAACTTGCATAATTTAGGTTTTATTTAGAACCAAACATTAGTTTTGGACAAGGATGGTGTTTCGTGCAAATTTTACATTAACGCAATGAAATTTTATGCAATAAATAAAATAAATGATATTTTATGCATTTTTATTAAAATATAAAAGTGTTATATAATTTACCGTATTTTATAAAATATACTATTATCTTATATTATGATATATACTTTTTTGTCTATCATAAATAAAATAAATTAATTTTTTTTTCTGTCATAAATAATATTTACCATTATTCAAAAAAAAAAAAAAACACGTTAGTTTTACACACTAACAATTTTTTTACTAAAAATATTATTTTTATTATTATTATTTGTCTTATTAAAAAATATCAATTTTTTATTATAGTAAAAATATACTAACGTGTTTTTTTTAATTAAATTAATTAGTTATCTTAATCTTAATTTATAATTATTTATATTATAGGATAATTATTTTCACTAATACATTCTTAATTATCTACTAATTACATCCATTCTAAAATACTGTGTTTATAGTGTAGCAGACACGGTATCTGAGACGGAGGGAGTAATATATTAGTATAAAAAATTATTAATTTTTATATAAATTACAAACATAATATTATATATATATAAAATATAAAAAAATATCTTATATATTTTTATCAATTAATAAAATAATATTATTAATTTACTACAAAATTTTAAATAAATACATTTGTCTATAATATTATGGAGTACATTAATTTTACACATTAGTATTCAAATTTAAAAAAATAAAAATAAAAATCCAATATTTGTGGTGAGTATTAAATTGGGAGTGACAGAGGGGCAATGAGTCAGTGAGATGACCCTTTCTCCCCACTCCACACCCAACTTTTTTCTTATTAAGAAGAACCATTCTCACACGTCATTAGTTTGTTTATATAATTATGTATTTAAAATAGTATATTTAATACTCCTTCCGTCCCAAATAAAGTGTAATATTTATTTTTGGTACGAATTTTTAGGTAGATAGTATTAAATAGAATAATTTAGAAATTAGGTGACGTGATAGAGAGAAATATATATTTTTTATTTTTTTATTAGGATGATGTGAGGGGATTAAGTTTGGGATAGAGATTAAGTATAATTAATTATTTCCTATTTTAAAAATGTTGCAAAGTATTTGAGACATACCGAAAAGAAAATGTTGCAAAATATTTGGGACGAAGGAAGTACAATTTATCATTTAAATTATTATTAAATTAACTGTTTTATCTTAAAATATAAATTTCATAATTTATTGTTATATCAATTAATAAATTAAATGTAAGCTATAACTACTAACATCTATTTATATATAATATTATTTGAATAACAAAATTATTTTGTCTGTCCATCAAATTTATTCTCACTTTTTTTCTTACTAATTTTGGCGAATTCAACAAAATATTTAATTATTACACTTAATTGAATACTTATTTTGCTAAATTGCACAAAATTCACCTGTGATTTCAAGAAATTGCGTCAAATTTCCTACTTCTAAAACTGCGTCAGACTTACTTGTGGTTTCATAAAATTTGCATCTAACCCCTTCGGTAGTCCTTATTTAATGGTATTTGACCTAAATGCGTCAAAACTGCGAATAAATTTTATAATTTCAATTTTTAAACCCCTAAAATTACAAATATATTTATTTTTCTTATATTTAGCTAAAAAAAATAAAATTTTAAAACTTGTGAAAAATAACTATTCTTGAATATATTTACTATTTTTTTATGCTAAATATAAGAAAAATGAATATATTTATAATTTTAGAGGTTTAGAAATTGAGATTCTAAAATTTATTCGCAGTTTGGGCGTATTTAAGTCAAATACCATCAATAAGGACCGCCGATGGAGTTAGACGCAGAGTTTATGAAACCACGAGACAGTTTGACGCAGTTTTAAAAGTATAGAGGGCTTAGCGCAATTTCACAAAACTATATGAAAATTTTGTGCAATTTAGTCTACTTATTTATAACAATATCATTATCTTTATTACATTATCTCTTTATTTACTTTAATTTTTAACTAAATTTTCAAAAATATTCTTTTTGTTTTTTACTTTTGTCATTTTTAATAAAATATTATTTTTTAAATCTCCGTATTGAATTCAAATAAACTAATTTTAATGGATCGAAGAAGCAGTATTTATGTGATGGAAATAATGGAATAATATATTTCCAGCCATATTATAAATTTGTAACATTAATAATGGGCTTTAAATTTTTTATCTTAATTTTAATTAGATAATATTTTAATAAAAAATACAAATTTTCATTAAAGTACATATTTATTTTTATATTAGTTAGTTATTTTAATTTTAATATATAATTATATTATAATTAAGTTTATTCCTATATTCTTAATTATTTATTAATTACAAAGTTCTCATAAATTTTCATTTTCATGGCTATAGTAATGTAATATTATATCTGATATAAAGGAAATAATACTCCATTTGTCCCGGCTAATTATTATATAATAAATAATTATAAATTAAAATTAAAATAATTAAATAAGTTGATTAAAATTTTAAAAATTATAAATTATAAAATTTAAAATATAATTAAAAGATTTGTTTGTCTAGTATTTTGGTTTGAAGTATATTTATTATATGAAATATAGAGAATTATATAAATAATATAAAAATAATATTTTATATTAATATTGAATTTTTGTGAAACGATAATATATATAATATCTATTAAAAATCGTGAAAAAAAATTATTGGAAAAACAAATCCAAAAAGTATTTTTATAATTTTAAAATACAATAAAAACAAAAAATATATATATAAAATTGACCAACATAAAAAAAAATATATATATATTTTATGTAAGACAAATGTATATTATATATAAAAACTAAAATAACTAGCACTGAAAAATATTAATCCATAATATAGAAGAGTCACAATAATATATATATATAAACAAAAAATTTATGGTGTGTTTATTCGTGAAATTTTATTTTCAATTTTACTATTTTAATTTTTTTAATAAAAATCAAATTAAATCAAACATTTATTTTTTATTTATTATATTATATTAAAATCAAACATTCTTTAATAATATTTTTGTGAAAAATATCCTATCAACAAATAATCGCAAAAATATTTGAAAAACATGTTCTATTATGTTTTTATTTTATTTATTTATACAATTATTTAATAGTAATATTTTATTTGAAAAAACACACAAAAGAACAAAACCGAGTACAAACAGAGCCAGAGAATGGATCAAAGTGACAAACACGACTAACGGTCAATAGAAGGAAAAATTATTGACCAATAGGAAATCAAGGATAAATATGTAATTTCACGAGTGAGGTGTCATATTGTGAGTTTGTCATCATTGATTGTGATTCTACCCTACACAGTCCCAGGAGTCCAGCACCCCAAAGAACCCCCAAACACAAAACCCACTTCCGGTTTCGAACTCCCAGGAGCTGATTAAAAAATAGCGTGCAGGCTCTCTTTTATAAAGTAGGTGGTAGTTGGGTCATTTCACTATTATGCTTTAACGTACTTTAAAAACAAAATAAATAAATAAATATTAATAATAATAACGGCCGTATATGTAATAAGTATAATTTGCGTATAAATACGGGTAATGTACGCTACGATTAAAGCCAACTGCGCTGTTGAAAATTTGTGAGTGGGTCACAAAGAAAGGCGTGAGCTGAGGAGGAAAAGCTTTAAGGGATAGAGAGAGGCATCCATCCCCCGAAGATTTTCCAGCCAATCTTTGTTTGTAATCGCCACGAAACAGCGAAGAAAGTGGAATCCCATCATCATCATCATTTGGAAAGTAAAAGTTAAAGGTAAAGAGGGGGAAGGGGAGGGGGAGGAGCGCAGATTTGAAAGAGAGAGAGAGAGAGAGAAATAAAGGGGAGAAATCGGGGAAGAAGGAGGGTTTAGAAGGACGAATTCGATGATGCAGACTCAGAGGACGCTCGAGAGCCAGCAATCGCTGATGCAATCGGGCCAGATTTCGGGGAGTTTGAGCTTCAACGGGAGTTTGAGCAAGGAAGACGAGGAGATGTCGAAGTCGGCGCTCTCCACTTTCAAAGCCAAGGAGGAGGAGATTGAGAAGAAGAAGATGGAGGTTAAGGAGAAAGTTCAAGCGCAGCTCGGTCGAATTGAGGAAGAAACTCGTCGGTTGGCCACTATTCGCGAGGTATTTTCTCATGTCTTCACTGTTAGGGTTTCGAGAAATTTGGGGGAAATTTTTTCTAAAAAGTTCGAGGTTTGTTTTTTTATTCTGCATGGATTAAAGTTCTTCCCCTTGTTTCTGGAGTTTATGCTGCCAATTTCCATGGATTTTTCCTAGAACTGAACAACAATAAACCCTAATTTCGCTATACTTTTCGTCGGCCTTCAATATCCATAGATCGGCTCTGTTTAGGGCAAAATATTGCGGTTTAACTTCAATTAATTGCTAGGAGACAACAGTTTTGCAATTATTGCTTGATTTGTGAGTTTGCTGTCTCTTACTGGAGGACAAAATGGACGAATCTTCAGATTCCTCCATGAAGACCAATAGAATTATCTCTGCTCCAGTCTCTTTTGCAGAATATACTCAATTGAAATCAGAAGATTCACCAAATAAAATTTATGATGTTCTTGGCATGTTCTTGTTGAATTTGTTCTGCATCAGCGTTTCACCTTCAAGGAATTGCTTGATTGAAAATTTATATATATTTATCCATAGTATGGTTCTTAGAGTGCTGTAAATGAGTTACCAGGAATTAGACTCCCTCGCCGATCCGATGAAGAAGGAAGTCTCTCTTGTTCGTAAGAAAATCGATTCCGTCAACAAGGAGTTAAAGCCACTCGGGCAGACATGCCAGAAGAAGGTAACAAACACCACCTCCCATGATTTGTAATAATCGAATTGTCTGATATAAAAATCATTACCAATATCATATGGTTTGATTTGGTGATTCGCAGGAGAAAGAATACAAAGAGGCCCTTGAGACGTTCAACGAAAAGAACAAAGAGAAGGTACAGCTGATTACAAGATTGATGGAGGTGAGTTCAATTCAGTAGTTAATTCAATTGTAAAAACAGAAGCCCGGATCATCATCATCATCACCACCGCCTAAATGCATATTCCATTTGTTTGATTGATTTCTTCCAGTTGGTGAGCGAAAGCGAGAGGTTGAGGCTGAAGAAGCTTGAGGAACTGAGCAAGAACATAGAAACAATACGCCCCGCCTAATCACGTTCACGCTCCCGGTTCGGCATTCTAATTAGGATTGTGTGATGTATTTAAGAGAGTCATTTCTATTTATATATATATATGTGTATGTATACATACAGCTTGTCGGGTGTTCTTCGATCGATCGGGTTTGGTTGTGCGTCGTCTTCATCATTTAGCTGGGAGAGAATTCTCTCCTGTTCTTTGTTCATTTTCTTTTAACAGGTTTGTATTTTGTAACTAAAACAGGTCTCTTGGAACCATGGATTCTTCCAAAATTCCTTTTTCTTTTTTTTTTTCTGAATTTTCATTCATTGACTCTTTGTATTTATTTGTTATTCTGTACATGTTTGTGGATTTATTATTGATTGGGTATTAAATTAATTTGTGCTGTACTGGAATGAACCTGACCTCGGATTCCCAGAAAAAGGATATAACTTTTTGTTGGGTTTAATTTTTTTTCATTAGGACACCATTCCTACACTTGTGTTATTCTGTTCTTGGCATTCAAAGGAGATATTTTAGTGCATTTTTTCTTTTTCTTTTTTGAAAATAATAATAATAATAATAATAATCATATAGTTGTCATTTGCCAACTATCCAACCATACCCCATCCACCCCACCCCACCCCTTGTAGTAACAAGACAAGAAAAGAATCTTGAGGTTCTCCTTCTCATTGGTATGAATGATTGAATAATCAAGAAATAGTCATTTGCAAGTGATGCCCAATATAATAATGCCAACTTTCTTTATTGCCCTTTATTTTATTTTGGGGGTTCTAGCTAAAAACAACATACCATTTTATTTATCAAGACAAAATTATTTACTTCCCAAAGTCTCATATTTTATGTCCGAACTTTTAAAAATATTAGCATTATATTGAAATATAGTAAAAATAAAATAAAAAAAATAAACTAATCTTATTAATATTGTATGATATAAAACTAATATATTTGTGTAATATATTGTAAATTGGAAGGATATTTGTAATATTAGGTAATAACATTTGTATAATATATTGTAAATCGTAAGCGTATTTTTAATGTTAGTAGAAAGTACAGTTACTAAAAAAGAAAAAAAGAAAATGGATACTATGTTATAAGATGGACAAAAGTAGAAAATAGATATATTGTTAAGGAAATATGTGAGTATATTTTAAAAATATTACACAATTTTCAAAAAATTGCACGAAAGTTTTTTATATTTTGAAAGATATGAACAAAAACTCATACTCCAAAAAATGGATTCTCAGTAATATTTTCTAAAATAGGAATGTTTTCGAGTTTTATACAAATTTTAAATTAAGAGAAAGAATTATATTACAAAATTTTTTAAAAAAATGTGTTTGTTTGGGGATTTGGATTTTGAGTTGGGATTTGAATAGTAAAAATTTTGAATTTGAGTAGTTATATAATGTGATATAAATAGGTGTTTGATGTGATGTTTTGAATGTAAAATTAATTTTTAATATAATATAAAAAATAAAAATAGATATTTAATTTGATATTCTTTGAAAAAAAAAATTAAATGAATAGAAGATTTAAAATCCAATTATCCAAACAAACACACCCTTAAAAGTAATTTTGGCTTTGGTTTATATATATAGCATTTGATTTAGCTGCAGGAAAGAAATAGACGTAACAACAGATTCCCGGATGAGCCTGCAACTGCAACCCACTCTATCTACCTACCATTGATCGGTCCACTCAAGGTTGGGAGGTCCCGGGATCACAACACCATAGAAGCCCACACCATCCATGGCTGTGTAGTGGGGTTTGAATTCATCTGGAATTGAGGTCCAGGAGCATCCAAGGATCTCGTTTAAGTGGAACAATCTAGAAAGTGACAAATATGACTTCCTAAGAAAATTTTTTAAAAAAAGAAATTTATTTCAATTATTTCTGTTTATTTGTTTATTTATATATGCATATACTGCCTCGTCCTAGATTGGATGATTTTGGTCCCTGTAGACACGAAAATTTAAAATAAATATAATTAATAGATAATTAAGAATGTATTAGTAAAAATAATTATATTATAATATAAATAATTATAGATTAAAGTTAAGATAACTAAATAATTTAATTAAAATTAAAAAAATTAAAAATTAAAATGTATAATATTTTTTTTTTTTTAAAAAAATGACATGGAATATGAGACGGACAGAAACGGGACCATAGATAGATGGAACGAAGGGAATAGTAATTAGGTATATAATCTAATCTAATATAATCCTCCGGAATAGTCTTCCCACAACTATAAAAGCAACCATTAAATTCATCAACCCATTAATGATTACATTAGGGATGTTAAGAAATAATATTATTACTATTATTATTATTATTATTAGAAAATATTCTTAGGGTGTGTTTGTTTTGGGGGTTTGGATTTTGAGTTGGGAATTGAATAGTAAAAATTTTGAATTTGAATAGTTGTATGATGATACTCCCTCCGTCCCACATAATTTGTCCCTATTTTCTATTTTCGTGCGTCCAACATAATTTGTCCATTCCTTTTTTGGAAATATAATTATACACTTTAATCTCATTTTAAATTTTAAATTTTATAATTTTTTTAAATCTTAATTAAATTATTTAGTTATCTTAATTTTAATCCACAATTATTTTTATTATACGATAATTATTTTTACTAATACACTTCTTAATTACTTATTAATCACACTTTACCTAAATTCTCGTATCTACAGTAATAGACCCATAATACATGGGACGGAGGGACTAAATAGGTGTTGATGTGATGTTTTGAATTTAAAATTGATTTTTAGTATAATACTGTATAAAAAATAAAAAAGAGGTGTTTTTTTTTTTTAAAACAAGATAACTGATATTACTGATAAATGCGAATATAATAATACACAATGAATCGCACCAATTACCAGACCTCAATACCTGAAAAATAGGTGTTTGATTTGATATTTTTTAGGGAAAAAATTAGATAAATAATGTAAATTCAATCAAATCCCCCGAACAAACACACCCTAATTAGTGGCCTCCCTCTCTCTAATAGGTTTTCATTCATTCAACTTAGGGTGAAGGTGCCCCTATTTTTTTTTTTTTCAATTCTTTTAAATTTTGCTATATTTATCTGCTCTAAAAAAATCATGTTTGTCTTTTGCGTCATTATATTTAATATTAAAATTTTTTTATATTTATATAATTTTTTGTATAAATATCATTCTATTAGTACTCCCTCCGTCCGGATATTTTGTCTGCTTTACTGTAGACATAAAAATTTAGGAGAGAGTATAATTAGTAAATAATTAAAAATATATTAGTAAAAATAATTATCGTATAATAAAAATATTATAGATTAAGATTAAAATAACTGATTAGTATAATTAAAATTTTTTTAAAAAATTATAAATTAAATTTTTAAAAATAAGATTAAAGTGTATAATTAAAAGAAAGTGACAAAATAAGTGGTACAGACGGAAATGAAAAGGTAAACATGAGAAGTAGGACGGAGGGAATATTATAAGACAATAATGGAAGTATTTTTTGCAATTTTTTTCTTAATTTGTACTATATTTTGATATAATAATTAATATTCAAATATTAACACACAAAGTAAATAAGACCCTTAGAGCCGGACAGAGGTAGTATTATTTTAAGTTTCGGTGTGTTTAATTTCGGTTTTGGTTTTACTATTTCAATTTTTTTTTCTTGTCTCGAAAACATCAAATCAAAACACTTATTTTTCATTTATTACTATTTTGTTCGACTCTAAGGGTCTTATTTATTTTTTACGTTGATCTTTAAACATTAATTATTATATAAAAATATAGTACAAATTAAGAAAAAATTGCAAAAATACTTTCATTAGTATCTTATAATACTAATATAAGATCATTTGTACAAAAAAATTATACAAATATAAAAATATTTTTAATATTAAGTACAATGAAGCGAAAGACAAATATAACCCTTAATTAGAGACGGACAAAAAAAAAATAATATTAAATTAAAATTTAATTTATATTCAAAATATTTCATAACATATTTATATTATATCAACCAACTAATTCAATTTCAAAATTTTATTATTTAAAACAGAAATAAGAAAACCCGCGGATAAACACACCCTTGTGTTTTTTAAAAACAAAAAGCATTATTTTTTCACTAATAAAACATTCTATTAAAGATTATTTTAATATATAATTCAAACCAAAATATATCAAACTAAATTAAAAAATAAATAAATAAATTTGAGATTATTTAAAATAATACTCCATCCGTCTCATATCTATATATTTATTTATTTTTTGCATTGAGTTTTAAAAATATTAATATTATATTGGGATAAAGTAGAAATAAAGATAAAAAGATTAAATTACCCCTATTAGTATGGTATGATATAAAGGTAATAACATTTGTGTAATATATTATAAATTATAAGAGTATTTGTAATGTTAGGTAGATGGTACAATTACTAAAAAAAAGAAATTGGTACTTTGTTATAGGACGGACCAAAATGAAAAAATAGATAGATTGTTAAGAGACGGAGGGAGTAGTATTTTTGTCATTTTTGTTCGTCCAAAAACAATAATTTCATTTTCATTTTTGGTAATTAACTCTATGTATTTTTTACAATTTTGTAATTTTTGTTCGTTCAAAAATAATAGTTTCATTTTCATTTTTAGTGATTAACTCTACGTATTTTTACAAAATTATCCATTTTTTTTTTCATAATTACATAAAATAAAGATATTTTAATCTTTTAAAAATACTTTGACATCCACTATTAACATAATATTGTTATTCTTTAATTCTCATATATTTCCCAAATATCCCTATTATTTTAGAACGGATGAATTATTTTTAAAAAAATAAATTATAGCTAATAATTTGTTTTAGAACTTAAAAAGTACAAAGGCTTCGAGTCGCAGTAAAAAGCAAAAACCTACGTATCTACCTACCACCTCAATCAAATTAATTTCGTATATAATATAGATATACCTTCTTGTACAAGAAAATGTGGGGTGGGGGTAGGGGGCAGGGATAAGGGGGTGGGGTACCCTAATTAATTTTGTACTATTATTATTATTATTATTATTATTATTATTATTATACTTCCTCTATTTTTTTAATTATTTATTTATTTTTTCATTTTGTTCCATTCTATACTGGAGTATCCATTTTATTTTTTTTAGCAACTGTACTATCTACCTAATATTACAGATATCCTTCCAATTTATAATATACTCCTTCCGTTCCATGTAACATGGGTGTATCACTGTAGACATGGAAATTTAGATAAAATATAATTAGTAAGTAATTAAAAAGTGTATTACTAAAAATAATTATTATTTA